AAATAAAATGTAGATGATTGGCCAAATCTCAAGCCACCCCCAGCACAGTGCTGATTTTGCTCTTCTCTGCAAAGACTACTTTTTTTTAATGAAATATCTTTGAGTATCTATGTTTTAATTTTGTGGCACACATGAATTATTCCAGGAGGTTACGTACCATGGATGGTCCTGACATGAGAGAGTGCGAGTTCAAACAGATCAAATTCAGCCCAGGGTTTGTTAGCATATGTGGTCATGGTCCACTACCCAAGGATGCTGATGAGCATACTTGAAGTTCTTAGCGTGGAATTAGGCTGTGAATGCCTGCGCTGTGGGAGCCTGAAACTCCAGAAGCTTTTCCAGTTAAAATTAGGTCTGCACATCCAGCTGCTGCTTCCAGGAACAAGCTCTGTTCTGTTGCCTCCAGCCAGGTCCTTCAAGCAACCTCATCGCCTCCAAGCAGGAGGGCCTGGCATCATTCCCAACACTCAGCAGTAGGTTTCTTTGCTCGTCCTTGCTGATCTGCACCTGCCTCTTGCGCAGTGAGCGGGGACTTTCTGTTTTCCAAAGCTCCACATGCACTTTTTAGCTCTTATTACTCAATTAAATAATTACCAGTAAAAGCCGTTATTCACAAAGTTCTAGGATTATGATCATACATCTCAGAAGCAAGGTCACCTTCTGCCATCACTCTGGATTGTATATAATGCTTTCAACTTCCATATTCCTCATACCATTTTTTTAGGAACATTTTTGACTTATCCATGCCTGTTATTGCAGATTTCAGACGCCTCAGGTAGTGCCAGGTGTTATATCTGCTAACGACAAGGAATGATTTATTTGCCAGTGACTTTATTGAAGCCTGTTTCTTCTTTGCATCAAATCTTTAACACAAAATGGTCAGCCATTAGGTGAGGTGTGTTGAATAAGCAGTGCTGTAGGATCTGCACAGACCAAGAGCCTTCTGCCCAAGCCGAGACACTAAAATCTTCCTCTGGATACCTCCAAGATACCTCCCTCTACTGACTCCCTAGGAGATGGGAGCGCTTGTTTGGAGAGGCCTGCCACAGTAGCAGAAAGGGAGTTGCATAAATTAGGAGGAGGGATTCTTTCCCTTTATGCCCTTAATGATTTCTTTTAAAATAAAATAATACGAAAGTCAAAGCTATTTAAGTCAGAAGTGCTAAACACACATTTTAGTAATATTGCAGTGTAATAGTAAATGGAATGCTTGAAATTGAAGATGAGACATCACAAGAAAAAAGAGCCATCTTGCAAATTTATTTACACAATTACAGCTATTTTAACCTCTGAGCTGACAGTTATGGAATGGCGATTTTATATGTTGCAAATAAAATTCTGCAAGCATTTGTCCACCTGGATTCATGATTCCATGGGGGCTGAAGAGCATGAAATAAAATTATTTCAGAACTAAGCCTTCCTGAAATTTGGCAATGCTCCACACTAGTGCAGAGCAGTACCTATTACTCAAGCGTTCATGACTCGCGTGTCCGAATCAGCTGCTTTATCATGCAGATAGAAATTCTTCTGTGGGCTAAGGAGATTAAATATCTTTCTGAATTGTGCTTGAACTATGGTCCTCTAATAAGGCAGGGTTCACTGAATCATTCAGCAGAAATCAGAATACTTTCCAGAGCAAAGAAAAAAATATATCCCCCTCAGCAAGAAAAGAGAAGACACAGAAATACCGCTGCCACACACTGACAGGCTTATAAAGCCTCTCTGCAGGGACACATAACAGCTTATGTAGCCCTAGGAGGAAGAAAACGGAAAAACAAAATTAAAATACTGGAAAATAAGATTGTCCAAGCACAGCCAGAAAATTGACTAAATAAAACTGTTGAAAAACAAAAGATAACCCTTTTAGAACAAGCAAATACAAAATTGCTGTTTGATGGCCAAGAGCTGAGTGTTTTGTTCAAAGGGTCCAGTAACAAACTGGGTTATCACAATGAGGGCAGGCCTGGCTCTGCGTCTGCTCCAACAGAGAAGCCGGCACCGAAGGAATTTCCCAGCTGGCTGGCATGTTAGCCCAGAGCCCAAGTCGTAAACTACCTCAACTAAAAATGTGCCTTAACTTCTAATTTGCTAGCTAATATGTGCAAAAGTGTTGCTCAGTTTTCCGTTTCTCTGTGAAAATAAAGCATTACATTGAATCATACAATCACAGCATGAAGGCAAGAATTATCCTTGCTTAAATTATTTCTTTTTCTCTGGGATACAAGATGAGTGCCAAAAACAAAAGAAGGGTCATGCATAGCCCTTCATAGCAATAGGCTGTGGCTGGCAAAGCCCTGGCCACCCCTCGCTTCCCACCTGGACACTAAGGATTCGGAGGAGGCAGAGGCACCTTCCCCATGCGTGCGATGAGCAGGAGAGCTCGGAGCCAGGGGTACAGGCGGGGGGTGAACCGTTTGTTCAACCAATCTGAACCATTTTAGAGGGGGTAAATTCTGGCTGAATTATAGATAGAATATTTGCAGTGGGGTTAATCTAGAAATATACAAAAATCAAGTTTGGCACTTGAGAAGTATGAAGGTTTTCAAATTTTCTGGGAATTTTTAATATCAAGAAGTAAAACATTTTATTAGTAGATCAGAAGAAAATTTTAAATTCTCTTGTGAAGGATTTTGTTTTCAGCAAAGTATGGGTTATGAAAACAAAAACAGATAAAAATAATTTAATCTCAGGAGAAATAATACCTTCTCTCCTTGCTAGTCTATAGGAATGGAAGTTTTAATCATTACTTAGGAAAGACGGGGAAAGGTAACACATGAGGTGTAGAGACATTGAAATTTCATTTGGACTGCATGGATTCTAAGAATCATAAGTGAGATCCTAATTCTGCTCCAAGAATGGTTGTGTTTACTGTGTGTAAATGAAAATAACCGTCTGGACAAAACAAGCAATCCATTGTACAAATAGTTTTATTGGTTGTTATAAGTTTGGCGGGGAGGAGATGAGAGACAAATCCCAACAAACTAGAAAGCATTAATATATTCCACTTTGTTGATTTGTGTCCTCAGAAGACATTTTTCATTGGACTAAAGCCTAATGAAAACTGAAAATAAATATCCAATTTATAAGATTATGATATTCTCTTCACTTCCTCCTCACAACTTTCTCTGGAACATCAGAATTTTAGTCTGCTATAAACATCTTCTTAGAAATTACTCGGTCTATAGAACAAATTTAAAGCCTAATGCTATCTATCTTGCTGCCTGACTCTCTTATGTCAATTTTTATTTGTCACTGTTTTTTGTACAACATGAGCAAAGCAGCAAAACTGCAGCCAGCAAAGGACTCTGAGACAAGACAAAAAGTGAATTAAATTACCTTTCTATTTTCCTAATCTTTAGGTGCCAAGGTTTGATTTAATTTTTGTAATGTAAAGCTCCCTGAGATCATCTCATTTACACTGCTGTGACCTTATGTAGCAAGTGGAAAATGTAGAGCACGAGCAAATGTCTTTTGGATAAAACTATTTTGAATAAAACAAATGATGCTTTAAGGTCGTGTGATTTAAACATGTGTTAGTATAATAAAAAATAAGTTTTCCAGTATAGGGGCTGCATGAAAGAATTGGGAAGAAAAGCTTCACTTTAAAGCCTGTGATGAGATGTTCTCCCAAACAGAAATTTAATTGAAAGTGTGTTGGGTGAATTCAATGAGAAGTGTTCATATTTCCACATTTGCTTTTACAGATCAGGAGACTCAACGGCCAGGATATGGAATCTCAATGAAAACAGCAACAGTGGTTCTACTCAACTAGTTCTGAGGCACTGTATAAGAGAAGGAGGACATGATGTCCCCAGCAATAAGGACGTGACTTCGTTGGACTGGAATGTAAGTTAGCTTCTGAGACTGGGCATGGTTTTTAACTGTCTAAATTTAATTCAGAGGCGATTGCAGCTTCTGCTCCATATCTTTTATATCTGAGGTGGCCAGAACCTCTGTCCTAACCTACTGACCTCTGGTTGAAAATATTCATAATAGACTGAACTTTCCCCTATACACTCTAATTTTCCAGAACTCTCGCCAGCTTCAAGCTAATAATGATGTATTTATGTATCTACTTTTAGGAGCAAGTGTAAAAATAGCTAACTTTACAAATGAAGATCAAGCAAGCTATTTATGAACTAATGAAGTCTGATTAATTGTGCAGTTACATCTCATGGTTAATTTATTCTGGTATACGAGGAGGTGTAAGTGTCAGTGAAGCTTTTCCTGAGGTGGGAATTTATGGAGGCCCCCTTCTGTTTGGATACTGGGGTGCATAACAAAACATGCTCACATTAGAGTCCTCATTTTGGTAGGGACCACGTGTAGTCGTTCTCTTTCTTACTTGGGTTGTCTTCCCTGATCTTTTATTTACTTTCACCCAGCAAAACCTCCTGAGAGAATACCATCATGCACAGAAATGCCTGGAATGAACAGAAAAGACAGAAATTAATGAGAATTTCCAGTGTGGGGGCAGTGTCCGTGGGCAGAGTTAAGACTGCTGCATGTCTCCTTTCTTGGAATTTAAAAGACCATGTAGGAATCTGAATTCATTTTGAGATCTCTTCCTTCTGTCAGATTTGTTGATGTTGGCACAGAGTGATCTCATTTGCCTTATTTCCTTAGGAACCAGATTTAAAAAATCACTCTGAGGAAGGATTCTCATCAGTACCTGATCTCATTCGCTGGTTGGAGACTAGGTTCTATTGATTAATCTTTACTGCAGTATTACTGTCCTCCAGGTGAGCCAGGTGCTTGCAAAAGTACAAGAAAGGGCAAGGGCACAAAACAGCCTCCCAGGGGTTTTGTGTATGTATGTGACACGTGAATGAAGTTCATGAATAGTACAGAAAGCACAGGTAGGTTAGCAAAGCAGACAAAAGCAACTGTGTTCTCATATTTGTTTTCTGTAGAGATAATGGTGAAGAAATATTGTCAGGAAAAGCTGGGATGAGGAATATGAAGAGGAAGGTTGCATAGAGGAGAAAAGCTAGTGAAAAAAGATGGGAAGGGCATCCTCTAGTAATTCTTTGCCTTTCCAGACTTGATAGATAACTGATACTTCCCTTCTCCCTGGTTCTGCTCCCACCTTTGTTCTCATCAGTAATCTAGATGTGTATATGTCAGTGAAGTTGGCTTGGATTTTTTTTTTTTCCCTACATTATTTTATAATTGAATAAATCTACAACCACTCTGACTCACTGTTTTTTGAGGGTTGGAATTAACATATGTTTTAGAGGATTATTTTATTTTTTTTCTTAATTTTTTGTTCATGATGCTAGAAAAGCCATCTGCTTTTACTGTTTACTTAGAATCACAATATTAATCATGTTTCACTGTAAAATTTTCACACTGGCTAGTATACTAAATCAGTTCTCTTCTGTTTTATGTGATTTACATTGTAATAAGAAATGTCATCCAAGCAGTGCTTGCTAGATATTAATTGTAGAGGTCATATTCAGACCATGTCCTTTGGCATCAAGGGCAAGATTCATCTCCCTGAGCTTCAACCACCTACACTAGCAATACAGGTTTCCACAAAAATCAGCATGTATGTTCCTTGGTGGTGCTCTGGTGAGAGTCTAAAGGAAATGGGATCCTGAATTAATGTCTAGATATGGATGATTCTAAGAGGCTGTTAAGCTAAATCCAAACTTCTCAACTTCTGGAGATAAATGAAATGAATCTTACTTCTAAAGCAACAGCTGAAATGTCTTACTGAGTAAATGCCTAGCGCCAGCAGAGCCTGCCTCACCATGTTCCAGGGTCAGATTTCTTCTTGCTTATTCTGGCCCAAGAAATTTAGCATTGTCAACATGTGAGCCTACCATTTGATGATGAAAGCAAATTCGATTTGCTTTCCCTCCAGAAGTATATATTTATTTGCTGACTGCGATTAGCAGGCAGAGGTGCAGGGGAAACCTTATTCCTCTCTGCAACTACTGGAAAGGAGGCTGTAGTGAGGCAGCAGTCACTGTCTTCTTCAGAATAACTTATCAGTTCATATGCACCCAAAGAAGAGGGAGCACGGATGCAACTACCTCAGGTTAAGTATGAGGAAAAATTTCTACCCAGAAAGAGTGGTGAAACATTGGAGCAGGCTGCCCAGGGAAGTGGTGGAGCCACCATCCCTGGTGTTGTTCAAGACACGTGTAGATGAGGCGCTCAGGGACATGGATTAGCAGGCAGGGTGTTGGGGGGCTTGCGATTGGGCTCCATGATCTCGAAGGTCTGTACCACCCGCAGTGATTCTGTGATTCTGTGAAGTGGGGCTTTGCTTAGGCCACCCAGCATAGCAGTGTGCCTCTGAGCACGTGTGTGAATCTCTGTTTAGACACCTAGAAGTGGCTTCTTTTTGTTAGATAGTGTTTGAGGTGTTAAAGGTGAGCGTACGGGACTTAGGTCCTTCTTACAGGTATAGAGGATCCACACAACATGGATTTAGTCAGGATTTAGGTGATCTGTTGATGAATTAGAGGCTCCTTACGTATTATCTATTTATTAACTGGAAGAATTTGTGATATCTTGTTTGCCTTTTCCAGCCTTTTTGATTAAATTACTCTATGTGATAGTGTAGTCCTATATTTCACAGCAAGTCAGGGAGTTTATTTACTCTTTGAGACCTGCTGTACTAACCACTAATTCAGATGATAATGTAATATTGATGTTACCTATCTCATTATGTGCGCTCAGGTTTACAGGAAACCATAATAAATCAAACAAACAGAAAAGTTGGTTGAAATATATCTGATCTAGTATTTACCTAAGACATGTACATATATATATGTATATATATATGTGTCCTAACAGAGTGACGGAACACTATTGGCTACAGGATCGTATGATGGTTTTGCAAGAATATGGACAGAAGATGGTAAGTCACACAGTAGTTACCGTTCTTAAGCAGCTAGTAGCAGTAACTTGGATAACTTACAAAGAAATTGTAATACTACCATCTTCTTTATTTCAGGTAACCTTGCAAGCACCTTAGGTCAACATAAAGGTCCCATATTTGCCCTGAAATGGAACAAAAAGGGGAATTATATTTTAAGTGCTGGTGTCGATAAAGTGAGTTTCAAAAATATCTAATTCTGACATATGAATTGATGATTCAGTGACCTTGGGCTGCCAGTTTCCTAAGATCATTTTCTTCTGCCCTAGGAGTTCTGGAGAGTTTGCTTTCTTTGATTTGTTTTAGTAGGTCTTGATTTCCTCAGATTAAGCAGATGATTATGTTTTTGAGGCTGCATGAATGTGTCCTCTTTTTATGTGAAACATTTTCATTGTGACCCCTGTGTACAATTGGATCTTAAATGTTTTCCAGATAAAGGAAGAATTAATTTCTTTATTTATGCATATAGTTTTATCAAATATTTGCAGGGAAGGAAGTAGCTAGTTCATCTGATTATTAAGAAATTTGCTTCCAAACAGTGCACAAGGTTTTTTTTGCATATGTGCAAAATATGGTGGTTCTGAACTCAAAATCAGGCAAAATGTGGTGGCTTCCACTGAGTGTGTATTAAAAGATTAAAATGAATAGAAAGATGAACACAAACCCATTAAAACTCAAACTGGACAGTAAACACCGTCCACCTTGTCTTGTCTAGCTTTAGATGCCTAAAAAGTTACATGTCTGTTGTTATTGGCTTCTTTTATAAAATCAGGAGAGAAAAAAAGCCCTTCCAGAAGATGAGCTGCTTGGCCTGCGTTACAGTGAGATGCATTGCCTGCATCCCTGTCCATCAATTTGCAAAGGGATCCCAAGGGAACTAGCTCAGACCTGCACATCCAACTTGTAGATTAATCCTGTATTTTCACCTATTTGTGAAAATGGGAGCTTAAGAGTTTTATTCATTTAACAATGACTTAAATGCAGCTATGCTGATCTCCCAGTGATATTTCCATTATCCTGGCAAGCTTACTTTGCCCATAATAGCAGTGGTTCTTAGAGATGATCTATTATCAGCAAGATGAGGAATCCTTAATATATTCTCTGTAAGTGCATGGTCCTAATAGATAGGCAAATCACCCATTTCAGTTCTGCAGGCATGTTGCTTAAGCAGTGCTGTAAATATGGATTAAACCTGCAACAAACAACTTAATAAACCAATTATATGTAGTTTATCCCAACACAGTGGTGGTAAGAAAAACATTTCACATGATAATATAATTATTATAAAATAAAGTATCACTAAGTTTGATAATACAATTCAACTTGTGTCTTAGAAAAGAGGAAAAGGCTATTTTAAGGAAGATAGTAACTGAGACAGATGTAACAAAACACACAAAAAAATAGTATTATCCTCTAACGTTATTCAGAAAAAAATATGCCCATAGTTAGTTGCTACATTACTTCCTCTGTAGGAGGGATACTTCTGTATCTACACTTTGGTTATTATTCTCTAATATTTGGGAGTGATTTCTGTTTATTCAGCTATGCAGCATATAAGGCTTTCTGCAGTCAGTTTTATCAGACCATCTTTACAAATTGCTCCTCAGTGAGGGCTCTCTCTCTCTCTCTGTTTTGCTGTTATTCTCTGAGCTGAATCATCACTAATCTCTCTTTTTTCCCCTTCCCTCCGGCTACAGACAACAATAATTTGGGATGCTCACACAGGGGAAGCTAAACAGCAGTTTCCTTTCCATTCAGGTAATTTCTATATAACTCTTGATAGTAAAATGAAATGCACTTTTTAAATCTTGTCAGTTGACATATGTAAAAATGTGTCTGCCAGATCTGTAATCTGAATTATGAGCCCGGTTTTGTGCCACTACTATCCTGAGTATCATGGCTTGTGGAGTTTTTTCAGGAAGATGGGATTCTGTAAGAATCACAGTTTATTTTGACTTTCACAGCTAAGAGTTATACACCAGCTCTGCCTACCTACCCGCCTGACTCTATCAGTCCTATGTGCTTGAATAACTCAAGACTAAGATAGTGGCTTATAAAGACATTTTTCAGTGGAGACTTCTGGGAGCTCTTGCACTCGTCCTGCTAAGAAAGCTCCCGTTGGAATGAAGCTGACTTCAGGCTGGAGTAGATCTCTCCAAAGCTGGCATGCCGCCCTGCAGTCAGGAAGGTCTTCAGGGAGTCCTCAGCTTTTAAGTTTGACTTCACGTGTATAGCTTTTGTACCTGCTTTATGCAATTATCAGAAAGAATTGCCAACTCTGAGATTCAAAACCTCCCTGCACCAAAACGTCATTTGGACATTTGTTTGTAGATGTTGTCTGCCTCCAGCAGACAGGAGATACCCCACGTGCTGAGTAATCTTGAGTAACAGGCAATCATTAATGTAATCTTAAATTCACTTGAGACTAGCGACTGAATTCATAATTCAAACCCAGTAAGTTGTCACAATAAAATATTTTTATGGAGCACAGCAAACTGAGTTATAACTACCAAAACATTCCAGATTCCGAGGCTGCAAATACTGTAGCCTTCCTGCATAAGCATAGCCTGTAGTCCTCCAGTGTACCTGTTGTAACCCACTAATCCATTTTTTAAATACAGCAGGCTTATACAAGGTGCTTAATGCTGTTTAAAAACGTACATTTTCCTACTAACATAAAAACATTTAATTCCCACCTGCTTTACAAGCAAGCTGCCGGTTATTATTCTTACACGCTCGCAGATGCAGTAACAAAGAGACAGTAATTGAGCAGAACACACAGAATATCTCTATGCACACAGCGGGTCCACACTGCATTTTTGTCCTTCATCTTCTCACTTACTAGTTCAACCATCAGTTTGAAGGAGTCAGTGTCTGTTGACAGATTTTCGCCTTGTAGCATTTATTTACCACAGCTGTTCTGCAGGAGCAACCTTTGCACAGTACAGCGGTGTACTTGATGAAATCCAGAGGCCTGTTAATCCCAAACTATTGCCCTAAGTAGATGCAACGTGGTAGCCCTTTTGGAATGACGGTCACAGGACCATTCTATAGGGACGATGTGTGTCATGGACACAGCGCTCCTTTCTCCTTCTAGCTCACCAAAAGCTTGACTGCATCTTCCAGTACAGTGAACCACAGTCCATCTGCATTATTGGACTGCAAAAAAAACAACAAAAAAAGAGTATTATTACATGTGCTGTTTGTCTTTAGGCCATAAGACATTGCAGAAGTGGGGATGTGGATAGGCTAACATTTCTTCAATTTGCAGTGTGCTTTTACAGTGAAGTAAAGCAGTTAAGTAAATTGGTGATAGGCTGAAAATACAGGCCCGCTATAAGGTCCAATAGACACTTAAAATCTTGACCCTTGAATAAGCAGGAATATTTGCCCTCACATAAGTCTAAAGCCACAAAGACCTCACCTCGTCCTTGCATCACTTACGCACCTGAACAAAGTAATAACAAATTATTTACCATGTCTCTGAAAAGCTTGTCTAAACAAGCATTACAAGGTGACATTTTAACAGCTATAATTGTAGTCTAGACAGAGTACAATCCTCTTAACAGATATTGACGAGGCATACTTCGTGGAAGTGTGGAGATAGCTGGCCTAGGGAGGGAGAGGCTGGTAAGGGAGAGTTTTTACTTCCTGGGCCTTGAAAACAACTTGCTTAGGTTAAGACATAATGCACAAAAGTGGTATCTTAGAAACTGTCACCTTAAGCGAGACTCCTTTGTCCAAGTCTTGAAGGCCTCCATACTACTGATGTTCCCATGTAACTAGGGTTTTATAGTCCAAATATGTAATTGTGTGGAGAAGTAGCTTATATCGAAGGTTTTGTTATTCTCTTGCAAAGTTTTAGTAGCCATCAGAGGACACTCAATCAGAAAACACATTTTCACAGAGCTTATTTCTTTAAAGTGCAGTGAAATAATCCAAATTTCACATCTACTGACAGAAGCATACTGGTATCTATGCACCCAGGAACAAATGTTAAGTGGTACAATAAAAGAGTTTTGTACCATCTAACTTAAGTGCTCTGAAGCACTCACAGCAGATGTTTAGAATCAAAAGTTCAAAAGTGGAGTGAGTTAAATAACACATAACTGATGAGTGAAAGCTTAAATGAATTGACCTTTACTGTAACATCTTATTGTTCATATTTATTTTATCTGCATTTCTTCAGGTTTGTTGCTGCTTTTCTTAGGTGACATTCTAATTGCTTTTAAGCAATTGGCTGGTAACCTGTATATTCAGAGACACTTCTTTGACAATCAGATTACTTTAATCAAAAACTATGTTTGCTAGTTTTTTTCTAGACCATTTTACATTGTGATTTACCCAATAAACATATGAATCAATACACCAATAAACGAATTGGCATTATCAACACTCTTCGATTCAAATTATGCAATACATGCAAATTATGTAATATAAATCCATTGCTTTAGGTGCCAGTAGTTCTCAGAAAATTACTTTGGAATCCATGTATATTAGCCCCGAAGGTATATTGCTATTAATAAAGATAGATCTTTTGTTTGCTGTAATACAATATGGACAGAAAAACAGACAGTTAGAGAAACAAAATGCTTCACTGCTTCCTGATCCCCACTCACATGGATCAGAAACCACAGCCTGAATCTGCCTTACAAACAATTTCCTTTATATTTTTGCAAAGCAGGAATTCCTTAAATGACACACGGAATTGAGTTATTTCATCAATATGCTAAAAAATATTTGCATTTGAAACTATTTCAGCCCTCATTTCTCATTTAAAGAACTATCTAGTGATTCAGAAGGTAGCATGATTCATTTTGTGATTCATGAAAATTACAACATGAAAAAAGCATATTTAATGTAATATGTTTGGCAGAACAGATGCCTTTTCACCTTTATGCTATAAAAGTATTTCTCTAAACATTTTTTGAATAAGGAATTTCTTGTTTTCATTTTAATGGTAAACTGTATTGTTGACACTATTTTTTTTCTTAACTGCTAATCTCATTCTGACAGACCCATTTAGAACAAACACGTGTGCTGTAATGAAAATTCCTCTATTTTGGCAAATCTTATTTCATCCTCTGGAGGGCAGCTAAACACTTTCCTAGTTAAAAAGGGGGAGATGAGAAAAAAAAAAAAAAAACACAAGAAGCAGCAGTTACAGAGCGCACACAAGCTGTATGTTGGGAGTTCCCACATATTTACTCTTGTGCATGCTTTTGCTCTGCGGTAATTTGCTATGAAAGTTGGTATTTTTCATATTTTCAGTAAAGTGCATGTGTGCACACAGGTTACATGTTCATGTGCTATCTGCGTAAAAAGTTCCATTAGTTCAGCCTGAGCCAATGCCAAGCTCTCCACAGAAACTCTTCAGGTAGGCTTTATCTTAAATCAATGCCCAACCAAATTAATGCCCATTTTTTCTGAGTAGTTTTCTCCCAGAGTGCTAGCTGCACTGGCTCACAGAGGAGGTCCTTGTATGCTGGAGATGGCACAAGAAGGGAAGTCTGCACCTGGGAGGGCAAAGGTGTTAGCAGGACCTCACCCTGCGCAAGTTTGTGGTCGATAACCAAACTGGGAGGAGTGGCCGACACTCCCGAGGGCTGTGCTGCCATTCAGAGAGAGCTAGACAGGATGGAGAGTTGGGCAGAGAGGAACCTCATGAGGTTCAACAAGAACAAGCACAGGGCCCTGCACCTGTGGAGAAATAACCCCAGGCACCAGTACAGACTAGGGGTTGACCTGCTGGAAAGCAGCTCCGCAGAGAGCAATTTGGCAGTCCTGGTGGACAAGAAGTCAGCCATGAGGCAGCAATGTGCCCTCATGGCCAAGAAGGCCAATGGGATCCTGGCCTGCATTAGGAGGAGCGTTGCCAGCATGTGGAGAGAGGGGATCCTGCCCCTCTGCTCAGCTCTAGTGAGGCCGCACCTGGAGTATTGGGTGCAGTTCTGGGCTCCCCAGTGCAAGAAGGACATTGAGCTTCTAGAGAGGATCCAGCAGAGAGCCATGAAGATGATTAAGGGACTGGAGCATCTATTGTGCAAGCTGCACTGGTTTAGTCTGGAGAAGAAAAGATTGAGAGGGTTATCTTGTCGACAAATACCTGAGGGAAGAATGTAAAGAGGATGGGGCCAAACTCTTCTCAGTGGTGGCCTGTGACAGGACAAAGAGGAATGGGTACAAATTGAAACACAGGAAGTTCCATCTCCGTGTGAAGAAGAAATTCTTTACTGTGAGGGTGACAGAGCCCTGGAACAGGCTGCCCAGAGAGGTTGTGGAGTCTCCTTCGCTGGAGGTCTTGAAACCTCTCCTGAATGGAACCCTGTGCCACATGCCCTGGGTGGCCCTGCTGGAGCAGGGAGGACAGGTTGAACTAGATTAGCTCTAGAGGTCCCTTCCAACCTCAACCATTCTGTGATTCTGCAACTGTTTTACTCACAATCATCCAGTTTTACCGGAAGAGCCTCACAAATAGATGTCATACGAAGCACACATATTGTTCATCACAAGAGAAAAATTTCCTGTGTGCCTCTCAGCAGTCTCTTGTGCCTCTCAGTAGTCCCTGGCTGGTCACAGGTGACAATCTCACAGCTAGCTTTTACTCTGCTTGGTGTAGAGGGGTGACAGAAGCAAAATAATTTTAGGATAACCATTTCTTTGCTGTGTTCCCTAATGCTTCTTGCATTGTTTGCACTTCACAGCTCCAGCTCTGGATGTAGACTGGCAGAACAACACTACTTTTGCCTCCTGCAGCACGGACATGTGCATTCACGTATGCAGACTTGGCTGCGACCGTCCCGTTAAAACCTTTCAAGGACACACAGTAAGTTAAGGCCAAAATCCTAGCGATAGTGCCACAGCAGCGCGTGGCAATGGCACCCGCCATGTGCTGGGCAGGGTGTTCCAGCACCAAAGGTGTTATATCTCATTGCACCCCCAAAACCACATTCTTTGGGAGTGACTCACAGCCTGTGAAGAGGAATAAATTCCTCTAGATCAGTTCAGGAGGCAAAACCTGCAGCTTAACCAAAGGCACTGGTCATATGCACCATGAGCTACAAGCAGAAGGCACATTAATAAAGAGGATTGTTTTCTGCTCTCTTAATGGCCTTTAAAAAAAATGAGTGAATGAATAAGGACAGAACAATTTACTGCCCTTATTCAGATTTAGAATCAATCTCATTTAATGAGAGCCGTTTAGGATGTATTTCACTCCTTTTCCCCTTTTCTTTGGTATTTAACAGCCTTCAAAGGGTAGTTTTTCTAGTTTTCATTCATGACAAAAAGGCTATGATAAACTGACCTATAAATTATTAACTCCCAGAGCTATTCATTTCCCCATTGAGGGGAAAAAAAAAAATCTACATTTGGAGACCTTTAGCTAGTTTGTGTGGTCAAATTGGTATTAAATTGGTATTTCCTGACAGATTCCTCTACATTCCTATTAACAGATTGATTTTGTTTATTATTACATGAAATATACCTTTTTGTATACGGGCCAAATTTTGACTTTAAATATGTGTGCAGTTTCTTTTAACTAATGGGCAAAGCAAAATATTTCCAATATTATTGTCACTAAGACCCTGAGCCAGTTCATACTTTCTAAAGGATAATCTTCCCCTGTTTAAAATGCTTTTTTCCCCCCTCCTTCTGTTGTAATATATGCCTGTCACTAAAAAAGGCAGGGAAAACTTACTGATTATCTAGGGGATACACTGGACTCAGTTAATTACATAGAACTAAAAAAAACTGATGGAGAAAGAATCATAAACTGCTTAGTTTTCCACTCTGGATTTCATGTACACGCTCTCTTTAGAGAGAGATGACAGTCCTCGAAAAGCTGTAATACCAAGAACAATAAACCCCACAAAACTAACCCACTTCCCCCAGGATTTTCTATTACAAATTTGCGTCTCCGAGATCCACAGGATATTAACTTCGGAAATACCTGACTTTTCAAAATAAGTTAGTGCTGCATTACCAGTGAACTTGCTGAGCCACGGGGCAAGGAGGGCCGCAGCCCGCGCGTCCCTCGCCGCAGGCGCCGGGGCCCTCGGTGTAACCTTGGCGTTCACTGTGTGCAATCGCTCTTTATTTCAGAACGAAGTTAATGCAATCAAATGGGACCCCTCTGGCATGCTGCTAGCATCTTGCTCCGATGACATGACATTAAAGGTAATTTAGTTCCCATTTCATCTGCTCAAAAGGTTAAAAAAAAAAAAAAAAGTTCTCTCTTTTTTTAGTGTTCTCCAGCATGGTAGCACTGTATCAGTAAGACTCTGTGCAAACAATAGTTAATTTTTTTCCCCATATTTCTTAAAGATGATATGAGCAACAAGACAGAACACAGACAAGCAGCCACTGGGCAAATGAAAGCATGCTTTTCAAATTCTGTCAATTGACTGATATGTCACTGTCACAGAATAGTCATAGTTTAAAGTATATTTGTGTGTTTGTATATACGTACATACATCTGCTCGCCTGTCAATAGAAACCCTTTCCCTATGCTAAGACGACTATTCATTATGCTTCATAAAGAATATAAAAACAGACTTTTCCCTTTGAAATCTTTCTTCTGAAAGTACTTTTATTGGAACAGTCGGATTTTTGAGAAGCCCTGGTATAAACCATCAGCAGGGCACATCCCAAGGTCGCACCAAGCTCACCAAATGGCCGAACGATTCTCTGAAGGTGCCTCAGTTCATCCACTCCCTGTGTGAGCAGCTCCACTGCTGACCGACCTCCAAGAGGTGCCGGGAGTTGGGGGCCACTGGCGCCAGGTGGCTCTACCAACATAACCAGCCCTGTGCGCTTCATGAGTCGAGTACAGCTGATAAAGGGAGGGTCTGGGCTGGCAAAGCTACCTTCTGCAATAGAGTTGGGTTTGTTTGTTTTTTCAGCCTGGACTCTCCTCAGCCTTGTTGTCCTTTCCCAAGCCCATCAGATGGGGTGTGTACTTGGTGGCAGAAGGGCCCTCCTGCTGCATTGCAGAACAAAATGCCAGCAGCACAGCTGCTGTTCCACACTACTTCCTCAAGGCAGAGCCAACATCCTGATCATAACATTGGTTTTGTGGATAGAACTATACCAGGGATACGGATTTGGGTGTTAATTACAACTCACGCCTCTTTCCACTGTGGACTGACAAAGCTAAAATAGTTGTTTATAGCATAAACACAATCTATGTAAAAGACCTAAAACTCAGAGAGAAGCAAAACTTGTAAATGTAGGTAAGACCTAAGTATACACATATATTATGAACATCTCCTGTTAATCCATTCCTTTTTTTTTTTTTTTTGGGCTTTGCCACATGCCCATTGGGGGTTTAACCCCTCTGCATTTTAGATAGTGAACTCCAGATTACTCACAGAAATACAGTTACAGAAAGGCGGCCTAGAGGAAACTTCCAGGGAGCACCTCAGGACTGTAGTATCAGGCAGTAAGACTCTGCTAAACATCCTCACCCAGTGACCCTCTGCATTTTAGATAGTGAACTCCACATTACTCACAGAAATGCAGAGTTACAGAAAGGAGGCCTAGAGGAGGCTTGCAGGGAGCACCTCAGGACTGTAGAATTGAGCAGTAAGACTCTGCTAAACATGTGGTAGCACATTTTTTTCTGGTGTTCTGGTGTCCAGTTTCACACTATGTCTCTAAAACTGCTTTGGCTGTGTTGTTGATACCAGCACAAATTTCTGACCAAACATGGCACAAGACCTAGGGGGGTTTCTATCACCAGCCTAGCCTGTTTTAAAAGGCTTTCCTTGATGGAGATTCCATATCCTCTTCAGGCAAATACCGCTACTCTTCAATTTTCTTTGAAATCAGTCTTCACTGTCTTAATTTTTTTTCCTTATTTTTGAAGTCCAGTCATGGTCTCAAGTGTGCTGCTGAACATTCAGCATCAGAGCACATCAGCACATGACCTCTAGAGGTCCCTTCCAACCTTAAGCATTCTGTGATTCTATGATTTTCCTCAATGTGCAAACCTTTAAGTAGAGAGTTAAATTATTACTACTTCTCTCATCTCTCCAAAACTGACTGTAATTTTGGGTTATTTTCCCTGCTGCGAGAGATTAGTATGTTCTTCTGCTTTTCTTAGTTATCTGGAAAAAGACTTACTGAATTACATGGCGTGTCTATTCAGCATATTCTTTGTCTCATATTGAAGTATTTAGCTACACAACACTGCATAAATAGCAGACTTATTCCATCAACCATGCTGCTACAAAGCATGAGGAAAACAAGTGGAGTTTTGGAGAAAAAGAAAAATCTAACAGTGAGAAAAATCACACTGGCATAAGGGAAAACTGGATTTTAAGCAGTCATGGCAACCCAATTCTAACTCTTTAAAATAAGTACTATTGCAATCCATGATTTAACAAGGTAAATTCCTCTAAGTAGAATTTCTTCACCTTCTGTAAAGGTGGAGGCTGTGGGCACCATGACAACTATCTAATTCTTCAGAGCTATCAAATAAATATTAAAAGTGTATCAGTTTCCTCTAATGTGGTTTCCTCTAACATGCACTCATTATAGGTACCAAACTGCTATGTTAATAAACTCAAGTCATGCATTTGTATCTAAATATGAAATAAAGAAACGTCAAGAATAACTCAAGAATAAAGAGGACAGAAATAATTCACTTGAGAAGAGATTAGTAACATTGCTGTTTTTCTCCTTCGTAATTACTCTGGCATAGATTTGGAGTATGAAGCAAGATACCTGTGTACACGATCTTCAAGCTCACAGCAAAGAGATTTATACTATCAAATGGAGTCCTACAGGACCAGGCACCAGCAATCCAAACTCCAACATCATGTTAGCAAGGTAAAAATGCACCTTTTCCGCTTACCAAGAAGAAGGAGCATCTTTCTGACATGCAATTCTACCATTCTCATGATATTGCTCTTACTGTAAGCAATTTCAGTAAACCAGCTGTGGATGATATTAAAAAGTGCTTGTGCTTAAAAGTCAGGAGAGAAGAAAGGGAAATAAATCACATGGGAAAAAGGAAGAAGAAAAAAAAATGAGCTATGATATTTAATTTTTCTGATATCTTAATTACAAGATGGTAAATTTGGCATTGAATCTTCACTTTTGGCAAGTGGTTTTTATAAGTGAATATATTTAATGAGACAGATGGCAGCCAATTAAACCACCTGGCGTATGTTGTAACAGGGGTCATGCAGCTCACCTGTGCAGATATTGACAATTTTTATAGCCTTATTAGCCAACTAATTCAGAGAATTAGCTAACTTTTTCAGAGAAAAGCTGAAACTTCTACTTAGAAATTCATTCAAAATTTTTATTTGAGTTTAGGAAGTCTGATTACTTGTAGGAATGCTAACTGATGGCAGTACCACTGCATTAACAAATCAGTTTCTGATGTCTTTGGTTCAGGATAAAGTTACCTCTAATTTGATTAATGTATTTCACCCTCTCTTTGGGAAAGCACAGGACAGGGAAGAACTTTGCTTCCTTGTGGTTGTTCTTCTAATATGGTTATTTTTAATACCAGTTACTTCCCTTGTCTTTTCCTGAGACCACAGTTTGGGATTTAGACATACTGGAGGAAAAACATCACTGAAAAAGTGAAAAGAACTGCAATTCTAGAGAATTACATAAGTTTAATTCATTGGATGATGCAAATCCATTAGGAATATGATTTGTCTGAACAGTCTGTCCTATAAATGACTTTAGATGTTTTACTTCTTCAAAAATAGCAGGTAAAATCCCAAAAAGAGAAGGTTGACCCTGTTTGGGATAATGATCTGATCCTATGCACAACAGCCCCGGTTCAACTAAAGGGTCCACATACAAGAATTTGTTCTGTGAATATTGTTCCTGCCATTAAGAAAGTAAAGGCGCTAGCGAACATAAGTCTTTCTGTTTGAAACGTTGCTTCCTGCTTAGTAAAAAAAAAAAAAAGAGAAGAAGAAACTCTAGTGTTCTCTTCAAATATTTACAATATCAAGCTACAAACTGATGAATGCCCAAGGTACCATACGGTCGTGTGTGTTTGTGCTTCTTGCAGTGCTTCGTTTGATTCCACTGTTCGGCTGTGGGACGTTGATCGAGGAGTCTGTATCCATACGTTAACGAAACATCAAGAGCCTGTCTACAGTGTAGCGTTTAGTCCTGATGGGAAATATTTAGCCAGCGGGTCCTTTGACAAATGTGTCCATATATGGAATACTCAGGTACTTCTCTGATTCATGTAAAACACATCTGTGCTAGAGGACAGTTTAGTAGTAAAAACTTAAATGGAAAATACATGTATTTCTGAAGACTGTGCCCTGCCAGACAAGGTGAACCTGATTGTACTGATAGAATATTTTTGTATTGATATAAATCCCAGCATAGCAGCTGAATCACGCAGGGGAGTGAGGTGACTGTCCAGAACTGCTAAAGTTTCTCTGTAGGCTAAACCAAGAGCATGCAGGAAAATAGGTACAGCGCACAGACGGTGAAGTAGGGACATGGGTTGATTCTTGGAAATAAATGATAACCTATATTCAGTAGCAAACTTAGCTCAGGTGTGAGTCCGATGCACCTGGCTTACAGCACACGGTGAAGGGATCATAGATACAAAGGGTGAACAATTTGGGAATCCTCTGGGAAAAGCAAGTGGGGCACCGAGTTTTCTCCCCAGCCCCAGGAAGCTCTTTCCACTCACGCCTGGGAGTGAGCTGAGAGCCGAGCTCGGCTTTCCCGGGTCTTTCCTGCTAGTGTGAGTGTCTGTGTGTGATGTGTCCAGGCGCAGGAGCGAGGCAAGTTCTCCAGCCCGTCAGGTTTTCCTGGGCCTGGACATGCCAACCGTGAGGGACATTTCCTGCATGGAGAGCTGAGGGAGGTCCCAGGCCCCCTCAGGTGGCGGCAGAGCTGCCATGGCCCCGCGCAGCTGCACAGACGTTTCTGGGCGCTGTTCCTCACAGCCGGAATAACCAGCAAACCCGGGAGGTGCCGGCGCCGGCCCGGCTCGCGAGGCCACTGCCGTTACGACGTGTGCAGAGAGAGACCGCCAAGCCCCCTGTCATGAGCTGCTTTCCGCAAGACCCCGTTTCTCTTCATCATCAAAGACCCCCTCACTGGCACTCTCTTCCCTTAATGTGTTGTCACTCTGCAGAGGGGGAAAAAAAAAAAAGGTAATTTCTGTGCCTAACATTGGTGTGCTGTTTTGCTGCAGAGTGGAACTCTAGTACATAGCTACAGAGGCACCGGAGGCATCTTCGAAGTCTGCTGGAATGCAAGAGGAGACAAAGTGGGAGCAAGCGCGTCAGATGGATCGGTAGGAATCTGTACACGGTGTAAATGCGGGTATAAAATGGGAATTGCTCCTCCGGAGAGTTTGACTTGCCTTGCTGCCTGCTCTGGACAGAGGTCCAGGGGTAGACAGCTCAGGACAGAAATAAGTAGAGCTATGGAAAGCATTAAAAGTACCTCCTGTTTTGAAAGGTTTTGAATACTGGGAGGAGGTGGTATTACTCGAAAAGAAGAATGCTTGTGGAGTAGGTGAATCTCACTAGAGATGGGGAAGATTTTAAAATACATATTTGATAAGAACATCAGTAGCAATGTTTCAGTAGCAATCTTACCTGTCAAAATTTAAAGAAAATCACACTAGTCAAATGTCTAATTAGTAGTTGTCTTGGGACTAAGTTTTACCCTGCAGAAAAAGCTTACCTAAAGGAGGAAATTTTCAGCAGGATGTGAATAAAATTCATTATGTGGTAAAGGGGACGTATTGCTTTGGAGATGCTTCATGATTATTCATTGCTATCTTTGCTGTTAATACTACTTTATAAAAATTTCAACTATAGCATGAGCAGCTTGTAAGGACATGCAGGTGTTATGACACACTCTGTAGCTTTTCTAAATAACTCTTCTCCATGGCTTGCAGGCACAGCTTTGCTCTAGAGCAGTATTTTTCGAGCTTTTAACCTCAGGATTCAGCTGCCTGAGCCTAGTGGCCGTGCATTTGAGATAGTGTCATGCCTGGCTTCCAAGAACTGCTCCAAATGGAAGTAGCTACTATGTCTAGGCAACTGAATAGAGCCTACAAGCTCATCTGGGATGTGCAGTGTCGCAGACATGTGTTTGTCCTAGTGAAAGCTCAGCTAAATGTTTATTACATGGTTTTCACTTACTTCCTCCCATATGGTTTTGTTTCCTTGCTTGAGTTCATGAAAGTAGGTACTTCAGGCAGGCTGTGTGAGGCCTGGCACTAGGACGTGCTGCTTTTTCAGCTGCTGGCTGCTCAGCCTTTGTGCTGGGCCACACATACATCTGAATTCCCAAAAATCTTCAGAAATGGTTCTTAATCCTGAGTCTTTTCTCTCTAGGTTTGTGTTCTAGATCTGCGGAAGTAAAAGTGAGATGTTTTAGAAGAAATTTCAAATGGACCAGCAGTGAATGTGTGGGGAGAAGCACTCTTCAAAACTATTCTTAACAGCTCCAGAACTGTACGAACTTGAACAAAGTTAGAGTGTACCGTGAAACCAACTCTCCCTGGCCACAGATGTCTAGTATTTTGTCCGTAACCTTCATCAAGGAGTAAAAACACAGTCACTTCAGAGGGGGAGGGAATGGTTTCCACCTGGAACATTCAGCCTTGGAAGCATGAAGCCACCAGCTAGGCATTGCACTGTTTGGTTTGCGTCTGAGAACTTGCTCTGATGGCTGGGAAAAAAAAAAAAAGCTGTGCCAAAAAAAAAAATTAATAAACAAAAAAAAAAGAAAAATGCTGTGATAAACCAAAAGGGAAAAAAAATCCTCCTCCATGCGGTGTTGTATTTTTTCCTTCCAATTTGGACACTACAGTTGCTCTCCCAAAGGACGTTCAAAGACCAGTTTGTACTGATGAAATGCTCAACTTTGTAATCACAACACTTTCTATTTTCTAGACTACTTTTTTTGTTCAGTGGTTTTTCTATCAGCTGGAATATTACAGCCTGGAGGATCCCAGGCTTAGGATGAAGCTTTTGTTTTCCTTTTATTTCTCCCTTCCACTCCCAACTGCTTCCTTTTTTTTTTTTTTCCTTCTCTTTCTTCTTCCCCTTTTTTTCTTTTTTCCCTGTATGCCCATAGTAGATGCAACCAGGTGGACAAGACAATGAAAATTTTTGACAGACTGCTTCTCCTCTCTTCTCTCTCTCTCTCTTTCTTCCTTTCTCTCCGTTTAAAAAGAAAAAAAAATAATCCTCCATGCTTCAGATCTTAGCGTCTCAAGGGCACTTTCAGCAAATTGTGTAATAAGTGCTTTATATAAGAATGCAGTGCTGGGGACGATTTTTACAGGAGAAAGATGACTTTTAACAGAAAGAACCCAGTGTATTTTTGGAAAAAAATATTTTTTATGTTAAACACAGTTTTAAAAGCCTAAAATGGCCACCAAATGTAGACCAGTTGTGTAATTCAAGTAAAAAGAATGACACAAGCAGAGTCCAAGGAACATGAAAGGTGCAGTATCCTTTTTGATACAAAAAAAAAAAGAAAAGGCCAGTCGTTTATCATTTATTAAGGCCCTGTTCCAGCAGCCAGATGTTTGTGTGGGTTAGTTCCTGCTTTTGCTGTGTGATGGCGTAGGCTAACAGAAGGAACGCGCTCGCGTTGAGGGCGCGCGTCGATCCTCGCTGGGCAGGGGAGGCCGCCCCGCGCCGCTCTCCCTACGGCCCCAGGGTCCCGCAGAGGGGGCTCGGCCACCGCAATGGTGCAGAGCGGCTCCCGCCTGCTCCGCTCATCCCCTTCAGCTCTTTCCCGGACGGAAAGTCGGTGGGATTTCATCACCGTCTCCGCAGGACTCGCTGGACCAAGCTAACACTGACTGCGCTTACCGCTGGAGACGAATGGATGCCGCCCCGCTGCCGTCCTGGTCCTGGGGAGCTCCATCCAACACAGGCTCTTCCGTTGCCCCCGGCCGCGTGGGCGGCTGTTGCCACCCTCGTGTGCGTCTTCTCGTGCTCTAGCTCCGCGCTTGGAGGCTCCCACATGGAGTTCAGGGCAAGGCCTTGGTGCAGCGCGCAGGAGACAACGCACATCTCTGTGTTAGGTGAGGATGCCATAAACAATATATAAATTACTTCTCAACAGCTGTACCACCATGAAGTTACAGTGGCTGAAATGATGAGAGTGACAGCAAGGACTTTGTGGGTGCCGCTCCTCCCGTTCGGGCACGATTCCCTTGCCGCAGGCTCAGGCCATCTGCAGTGGTGCCTTCTGGAGGCTTCGTTACCGTACGGGGGAGCGGTGGGGGCAGGACCGGCGGGTCGCGCGCGGGGCCGGCCCCGGGGCAGCTGCAGCGCGCGGCGCTGCCGGGACGCGTCCTCAGCGCCAAACTGGGGCTGCCCCAGCCCGCGGGCTGTGCGAGGGCTCATAGCACACAGAGCAGCAGGAAACAGAAAATCCCCCTAAAATCACGTAGCACAAACACTGCGATTTCCGTAGCACAGAAACTTCCCGTTGGTTTGAACCCAAGTGCTGAAGGGGTGATTTGATGTGAGCAGAGACAAAACCAGGATCCTAACAGTGAAAACGGTGCTGTGAAGCCGGCCGAGCATCTTGGCATCGTGTTCATGCTGCGTTTTTTTCTCCTTTGTTTTCCTCTCTTTACACCTGTGTCTGTATCAATGTCTTAGTCTTTTGGGTGAAACTAGCCACTGCCAGCTTCAGCCTGTTTTCCTCAAGATACACATTTGAAAAGGAAAAAAGTAATGAAAATAAATTACTGCTAAAAGGGTTACTTAGTCCTGAGGTGAAAATATTTATGTGGGATTTTGGTTATGAATTACAGTTAGGCGTGTTTATAATTTATATCGAAGAACTGGACACTGGAAGGTATCAAGGATTATTTTTTGTGTTAAATGTGTCTGTGTGTTGTATTTAGTTTTCTGCTCCAAGAGCATGACTTTAGATGATCGCGTGACGGTTTTGCACTGTTTTATAATAACCACGTGTAGCTACTAATTTAGAGTCACTACCTAAAAAAAAAAAGTACTTATTAGGAGAGAGACTTGAATTTGAACAGAAAGGTTTAATGTGGTTTTATAAAGCGCGGTCGAGTTGATCATTTCGCTAGAATCGCTGCGTGTGGACGGTTCCCTTCTCCCTCACGTGCAGGAGCTCGGGGTCGTGTTTTGGGAACACCAGGTGAGCTCCCCCGCGCGGGCAGGCAGGACAGGCTGGACGGGGCGCTGCGCGCGCACCCCCTTGCACAGCCCGGGACTTCTCGTGTCGCCAAGAGCAGCCGCTGCAGATAAGTCTGCAGTGTGGAAGGCGCGTGTTTCGTTCTCCTTTCAGTTGGGCTTTGCAGTGAGAACCCTCTGTCCTCTGCCGGGCTGCCTGGCGGCAGGAAGCCGTGAGAGACGCGGCCTCAAACCGAGCCGCTGTGCAGCGCCCACCTGGGAGAACCCCCCAGAGAGGCCCTCTGGAAGCAGCATTCGCCGAAAGCTGAGAAAATTCACCTGCCTTCCCCTCCAAAGCGGGCAGATCCGCAGAGGTACGGAGGGAGGTGACAGCCTGGAGATAAAACGAGGGCACTACCGAGAGGAAGGCAAGCAGGGGCCGTGGTGGCAGGGGCCGTGGTTGGAGCAGGCTCCTTGTTTCCCCGGCCATGGGCCTCGGGCCTCGAGGGCGCCGCTCACGGGGCCCTCACGAGAGCAGCTGCCCCCCGGGCTCCGCAGCGGGGCCCCCGCGCCGGCCTCGCGTGCCGTGGGGCAGGACAGCGGGAAGCACCAGGCCCGAGGACTCGAGCAGGGTGTTCTGTTTCTGGTTTTTTGTTTTCACACAGTATTTTGAAATGTTGTTTGTAATTCTTTGCAATGGGCGAGAAATTGAAAACAAACAAAAACCAAAACTGGGAGACCAAACTGAACTGTGAAACCACCAAGAGGCTTCTTACTGGAATTTTATCTGTGCTGGCTGCCTGGAACTGGCCTTGAAGTGAAGGGAAAGAAAAAAAAACAGCTTTTTGAAAAAACACTCAGCTCCCTGGCTTAGAAGGATACTGAATCTTTTATGTAGAAAACACTGGGTCCCTTATGGGGCACTAAAGGGCCTGACTTACAGGGTTACACACACATTAACCCCATGCTACATCTTAGAATTTTCCTTTTAATTTGTTTAAAAAGAGAAAAAAAAATAGCTAATTTTAGAGCCAAGTGAAGTGCACTTTGTCAAATGTAAGGGTCTGCTTTGTTTTTGGGTTTCTTTTTTTTTCTTTTTTTTCCTTTTTAATTTTTCCTCCTTTTTTTCCTCCTTTTGCCTTTAAAGAAAATGTGGTTCTTTGTCAAATGCAGAAATGTTCTTTCAGCCACTCACTGAAATTCTGAATTCTGGCTTCTGCAGTTTTTATTGTCTGTGTCAGACTTGCAGCCAGACTTGGTTCTCATTTCAGCATTTCCCAGGTTCTGTTGAAACAACATCAACCCTTATTTTGTTTCTCCCCTGCCCACACTTTCTTCAAATTCACCTTGTGTATTGTAGCTCATTTGTTTTAAGGAGAGAATCAACAGATCATATTCAGTGTCTTGAATAAATTGCTATATTTTGATATTAGAGAACTTTGTGCGTGTTGTTCCTTTTTCTTTCTTGACTATTTTGCATTCTGTGTTTAAAGGTTGGGAGCAGGTGGGAGGGATTGGCTTTTCACACATTCATTGTTCAGTTTTACTTTCCCCAAATGATTCATTTATTGACAATCCCTCATTTTAAAGGGAGCAAAACTGAGAATTGCTAAGTATTGGCAGCTAGTGAAGAGCTACCTTTAATCATGTGGGTTAATGTTTTTCCACATAAAATAAACTTGCTTCTAAGTTGATCTAGATAACTTGCTAATTCTTCCTCAAGCTGCCAAGGCCTCAGGCCTGGTGAGCTGCTTGCGCAGCGGATCCCCATGCAGGAAGGTGCATCCCCCTCGCTGTGCAAACTGGGCAGGTTTCCAAAGGACATCCGCGTGCTCTGCCTCACGCAATGGGCTGACGGGTCGTCTCCCATTTGGCTATTTGACGTGGTGAGAGAAGAGGGATGCCCCATCCCAGCACTGCCAAGGCACTGGACCAAGAGAAGGAGGCTCTTGCGATCACCCTACCAGACCAGCGCTCCTCCATCCTCCTGGGGCCTCACAGTTCACAGGTTATGAGGGTTATTTTTTATTCCACAAAACAGTCGCACGCTACTTCATGCAGTGTCAACATGAAAGCGTGAGATTTTTGTTTCTTTGCAGCCTTAACACTGAGCCAGTTCATCTAAGCGAAGGCTAAAATATTGTCCATGGCCTTCAGAAGAGCCACCACCCAGAGCCACACTGGGTCTTACGTGTCTCATCATCAGATTTCTTAAATATTTAAGCACCTAGAGCCTATGCTGATGGTTTGCACAGTATCACATCATCAAATACTCAAAAAAAAGAGAAAATAATGTCCTTTTGTGCATTTTTAAACAGTCTACACTATCAAATTTGCAGGGCATTAATATACAATTAATTCCCTATAATTGTATTATTTTAAAGTAATAGGACAGCTATTATTATTCATCTCTCACAAGACTACTAGCCACCAGCATTCTTTGTGAGAGTTCCTCAAAATGAAGCATGTAAGAAGGAAAGATATAGACATTGTAGGTCTAATGCTTTAATAGATGGCGCTATGTAGAAACTGTGCCTTTATCTGCTCCTTAAGTCAATGCTGTATTAATCCTAATTTTATTTACATTATTTCCAACCAAAGTTCAAGAAAACGTAATACTGTCAAACAACATAGTTCTTCGATTTTCATTTTTTTATCCTATAAATATTACCCTATGCACCATTCAACAAGCAGCACTCAAAGTATTGGGCAATCCTAAACACTTTGCTTCTTGCTTCTGTCAGAGTGCAGTCCAATAGAAATATATTTGCTACAGCTACTCTATTAAGATGTTATGTTGCAGTACCTCACCCAAACCACTTATTTCCTTGACATCATTCTACGTATCATTTTTCACAAAGGAAAGATCAGTGACAGCCATTACAAGTGCATGCAACTTCATACCTAAGCCCCATGCTCTGAAAAGCATTTTTTTAAAAGCTTTGAAGTCTCTTTAAGTGAAGAAATGACTCATTTGGCAAGGAATTTATCATCTTTGCTGACTATTCCCAACAGGAAGGAAGATCTTTGCTTCCTTAGAGATAGTTTTTTTCTACTTCCTTTGGAATATATTCACAAAACGAAAAGCATACAAAACCTAATAAGCACAGGAAAGCAGCAATATCCTCTTTTCCTGCTGCAAGATCTTTTCTCCTTACAGGAGAAGTCTTGACTTCAGTGTGTAAATGACTCAGTACAAAGGATCAAGAAAAAGATTCTAGTCATCTGTTTCCAAGTCCTCCCCATCAAAAACGGGGACGAAATTGGCACCCTTACCATAAGGGTAATTTGTTGCCGTAAGAAGTGCACCACAAATGAGAAAGGATATAGTTGAGAAGACCTGACATTCTGGCATCCTAAAACTCAAAATTATTACTCTAGGCTTCCAGGACTTCTCTAAAAGCCAATGGATTCCACTGAGAACTGCACCCCATCTCACTGGGTTGCAGTTCCCCCCAAAAATTCTCTGTAGTTTTGTAAAGGACCAAACACAAAGGCCAAACCCTTCGATGGATTTTTTTTGAGGCTTCTGATGACACGAAACTGGGAGGAGTAGCTGATACCCCAGAGGGCTGCGCTGCCATCCAGAGGGACCTGGACAGACTGGACAACTGGGCGGTGAAAAAATCTCATGAAATTCAACAAGGCCAAGTGCAAGGTTCTGCACCTGGGGAGGAATAACCCCAGACACCAGTACAGGCTGGGGACCGACCTTGTGGAGAGCAGCTCTGCAGAGAAAGACCTGGGTGTCATGGTGGATGATAAGTTGACCATGAGGCAGCAGTGTGCCCTCGTGGCCAAGAAGGCCAATGGAATCCTGGGCTGCATTAAGAAGAGCATCTCCAGCAGGTCGAGGGAGGTGATCCTGCCCCTCTACTCAGCCCTGGTGAGGCCGCATCTGGAGTACTGTGTCCAGTTCTGGGCTCCACAGTACAAGAGGGATGTGGAGCTACTGGAGAGAGTCCAGCGCAGGGCTACAAGGATGATCAGGGGCCTGGAACATCAGCCCTATGAGGAGAGGCTGAGGGAGCTGGGCCTCTTCAGCCTGGAGAAGAGAAGGCTGAGAAGGGATCTAATCAGTCTCTGCAAGTACCTCAAGGGAGGCAGTGAGGAGGATGGGGCCGGCCTCTTTTCAGTGGTGGTCACTGATAGAACTAG